GAAGAACGCAAAATTGTGACTCCAGTTTCAATTTTCTTCAACAATAACACCAGATCAGTAGAATTACCGCAAGATCTATTCTTGGTACAAAGAATTGTAGAGCAAGTCTATCATCAAGTACCCCGTAAATCAAGAGGATGAAGGAATTACCAATTGAATACCGACAACCAAAGAAAAAAACAAAGAATTTTCACGGTAAGGACCACAACTTACCTTGCGATGAGAGCGTTTCTTCTAGAGAAAGGAATTTTCGGGAAAAATGAAAATTTTGTCACAGATGATAAGTTAGAACAAAGACTGGATTTTTTGAGTGAAGAATTCTTTTATCTATATCAAAATTCCTGTATCTCGACCTCTCCTTGTACGCTTAGCGGCTATAGTGGATTTGGATATGAAAGGAAAACAAGGCTCTCTCCGTTTTCTCTCATTTTCGTCTTGCTTCTGTATCTCTCCGTTTATATCAAAACAAGATAACTGAAGATGGACTGTGGCCTTAGGATTTCTGATCTACGGTTCTTGACCAATTTTGTACTGTGGAGAAACCAAACTGTTAAAACTTGTTCGCGTGGTAATGGACTCATCTTCTCCCTAGTCCTATGATGTCTGTGTCTAAAGTCCAGAGTCCAAAACCTTAACCCTTTTCGGGCATGGGCCTCAAATCTTGGCAGGTAGTCCAATAAATCCACAAGTTTTACTATGGGATAATCACATAACTACTATATTATAAAAACATGTTTCACAATTAACCAAGTCCCTTAAAACTTTCATAATTCAAGTGATAATTGAAAATATTAAACATATAAAAATACTAAAGTCCAGAGTCCAAACCCTTAACCCTTTTCGGGCATGGGCCTCAAATCTTGACAGGTAGTCCAATAAATCCACAAGTTTTACTATGGGATAATCACATAACTACTATATTATAAAAACATGTTTCACAATTAACCAAGTCCCTTAAAACTTTCATAATTCAAGTGATAATTGAAAATATTAAACATATAAAAATATAATATTATATACACTAAGCCTCTGTTTGAGCCCCCATTAAATTAAATTCTATTACATTTTATTTTTCTCTCACCTATTTTCAACCACATAATCTTTCATAAAATAATATTACACGTAAATCGAAAATTTTTCATTCTTTTTCAACCACTCATTTTTCAAAAAAATACTATTCCACCCATTAATTTTTACACGTAATGGGGGTCAAACAGGGACTAAATTTGGATAAAAAATTATACTCTCCTACAAATTACTAATATACCATAATTAAAGATATTTTTTATTTTACAACCGTAATCAAACGAGATTTTCTCTATCTATGAAACGGGTTCCACAAAAACTCTCTCTGTAAACAACAGATTCACCAAAAACTCTCCAAACATCACGAAAATTTCACTGGCATTCTCTGCAATCGATCAATAACGTCGATATACTGCTAATTTTCATTTAATTGGAGAAAGTTGAAGTTGGATTATGGAAGAATTCAATTTGCCCAAAGCAAAAATTGAAGTTTTTTTTTATCTGACTTCGAAGGTAAGCATATAATTATTTAGTATAGCTTATGATTTTGAAGAAACAGGTGTTTTCGAAGCTATTGAAACATTTATCCAAACATAATCAGAGATTTCACGCCGTTAGTAATAACCTATATTTTGCCCAGTGTGTGACGTGTATTTTTTCATTAACGATTGGTAGTATGTAATTTTTGTTTTCAATTTATAGTCATGAACGTGTTGATTTATGACTGTTTATGTGATTCAATCACATTGGTGCATATTTCTATTAATTGTGACTAGTTGTGACCATTGAATTAAATAGATTGTGACATATATGTTAAATGTCTTGACAGTCCATATGTAGAATTAGTTTATTCTGTGATCAATGTCATTGCATTGAAAATTGATTCTCTGCGACACTAAATTTGTTGACCATATGTGAATTTCTTTACATTAAATAACTTCTGTGACATGTATTGACATATCTATGATTTCTTCATCTGTGGCCTGTATTCATCAATGTCATTGCATTTGATCGTTTCTTGATTTTAGTGAATGAAGTGTGACATGCTGTTATTTGTTTGTGATCAGGGATGACAATTTTGAACGTTTGCCTGTTATATGGAGGTCACACATCAATTATACTATTGAATGATACGTGCAAGTATGATGAGTTAGTTAACCTTGTTATTTCAGAATTGGGGCTTAATCATGCAGAAGTAAGTGTGAGATTAACATATTATTTGGATTCTAGTTTACCTCCAGTTCGGATACTAAGTAATAATAATGTCTTAACGTATTTGGGGCTAAGATCTTTGGATGGCGTTGTATCGAACTATCCTATTGCAGTTGATGTTATCACTACAGACTCATGGTAGTCAACAGGTGCATTGCAATGTCCAGAGTCATCAATTACTACCATTAAGTCATCAGCTAATGTGTTTTCTTTACAAAAAATAGCTCAGGATATATGTGACTCGGTTACTACAATTGAGAACGGAAACATTGAATAAGATGTGATATTGATATCTCAAGTAAATGCTAGAGAAGTAGTGGAGGGAAATGTTTTCTGCAATAAGAAAGTACTGAAAATGAGCTTGGCCCTCTATGCCATACAAAACAAATTTGAATATAAGGTGTTGAGATTGGACAAAAAAGAGTACGTAATAAAGTGTTTCCAAGATGATTGCAAGTGGATATTTAGGTCTTCACGCTTGGGAGAAATGAAAACGTTTAAGATCAGGGAAATCTATAATGGTCACACATGCTCAATGAACATTGTTTTAGGATCTCATCGACAAACATCTAACTCAATGGTGTCAAACTATATCAGGTACAAATACACTTCTTCACGTACAATATACACTCCTAATGATATCTCAAATGACATGTTACACAAATATGGAGTATCGGTGAGTTATATGAAGGCATGGAGGTCACGTGAGCAGACATTAAAATTGATTAGAGGTGATCCAACAACATCGTTTCAGTTGCTACCTTCTTTTTTTATGTTACAATAGATGAACATACGGACAGTCACACGAATAGAAACTGATCATTTAGATAGATTTAAATATTATTTTATGGCTTTGGGTGCATCGATTCTGGTTGAAAATATCGTAGGCCAGTCATTGTTGTTGGTGGTACATATTTAAATGGTCACTACAGGGGTACACTCTTTACAGCTTGTACACAAGATGCAAACAACAATATCTTCATACTAGCTTTTAGGATTGGGGATAATGAAAACGATAAGTCATGGAGATGGTTTCTTGAGATGTTGAAGAGGGCGTACGGATCTAGAGACAGATTATGTATAGTATCCGATAGTCACAATAGCATAAGAAACGCCATTGAATTTGTATATCCAGAGGCAATGCATAGGATCTGTTCATACCATTTGCTGAAAAATTTGAAGTCACATTATGCAAAATCGGGTCACAATGTCACACATGCATTCAATTTTGCTGTAAGAGCTTATACAGTGGATGAATTTAAATATCAAATGCAGCAATTGGACTCAATAAATGAAGATATCAGGGGATATTTGGTATGTAATTGTCTGAAATATATGTTATATGACTTCCTGTCATTTTTTTTGTGATGTTATGAAATTTCTATGAATATCTGTGATCACGCATGTTTAATGTACAAACTATATTTCATTTTTTGTTATATGAAATTGAAACATGATTATGAATGCAATATACAGTGTATATTTAGCATGTGGTCTCATTTAGAATTAAAACATAATATAGTTTTATGAATGTGTCCATTTGTGACCTGTTCTGTGATAATACTGACTATCTGTGAACTTTTTAGAGTTAACTGTGACCATATGTGACTTGTTACTTAAATCTGTTATCTAATAACTAAAATTATTTTGTAGTTGGATGTTGGATATGAAAAATGGTCAAGATTGCATATGCCAACCAATAGATACTCTACTCTGACATCAAATATAGTAGAATCTGTTAACGCAGTCACGAAGGCGGCAAAAAATTACCCCATTGAAGCACTTTTAGAATCATCGAGGCAAATGGTCCAATCTTAATTTTGCAAAAATAGAGATAACACGCATGACACTTTCACAAAGCTTGCAACAAAATATGAGAAGTTGTTAAGGGAAATGAGCAATGATGTGAGAAATCTAAAGGTTAAAACAAGAAAACTATGTTTATTATGTTGATCACAAGTATAATTTTAAATATTTTTTATTTTCAGGTTTCACGTGCAAATCACACTTTGTTTGAAGTGAGGGACAATTCTTCATCATACATGATTGATATAACTCTACATTACATGTAGTTGTACAAAGGTTCAAGTGGATCAACTTCTCTGTCCACATGCACTGCAGTAATAGCAACATTGAAGTTGAATGTAACATTGAAGCTAAATGTATATGACTTTTGCCCTGTGTATTACACAAGAGATACATATCTAAATACCTACAATGAGACTGTCTTTCCTATAGGTAATAAATCAGAATGGAATTTGCTAGAAGATGTAAGTAATAGAGTTGTTTTTGCTCCAAACCAAAAGAGAAGTTCTAGATGGCCTACTAAGAAGAGAAAGAAGCAGCACATGAAAGATCACAAGTTGTGAAATGTGAAAGATGCGGTGAATTCGGGCACAATCGTCGAACCTGCAGGAATTTGGTGCCACTTAACCAGAATGATAAAAAACTGAAAATAAAGAAAGATCCAAAGAAATTCAAATAGTTTGGTATAATTTTTTTACACAATGATATTCTTTGTAATTACAAATTGTTTCATTTTATTGCCGAACGATGTATTTTTTGGATTATACGAGTTGACAGATTTATGCATTGAGCTTTCATTATATCTCACGATGTCACTTATTTATGGAAAAGGGCTGTGTAAACAAACATTGATTGCAACTCTGTTTTTGATGATTGTGACCGTCTGTGACCATTTCAAGCATAAAATAAGCTCTATGTTTTTTGTTTAACTTGTGTGTTCAAACTAAATCTGAATGTCATCTTCCACTATATGGGACCAATTCTATGCTTTCTTCTTTTGTAAGAGTGTCAACGATAAATGTTAAGCATTTGTGACCTGTTCATATGTAACAAGTTAACTAAAACTATTCATGACCATCTGTGACTTGCAGTTATATAAGAAAGTACTCATATGTGACCACTTGTGACATATTCAAGTCATGCAAATTAACCAACTGTTGCTATTTGACGATTTGTGACCTGCAGTTATATAACACATTACTCGTATGTGATTATTTGTGACCTGTTTAGACTGTGCAGTATTCTCACATGACCTGTTCAGATCATACAAATATAGACTTTTACATCCATAAAAAACTTAGATGATATAAACAAAATCATTCACATAAATACCAATACGTTCACCTTGTGCCAATTGACAAAAACAAATTCAAATTCAATTTCAAAACATATTACAAAGATAACATATATCGACTACATCATAAAAATATCTGTTTGTCTAATTTTGAACAACTATCAATCTAATCCATCATGAAAACAATGCCATCAACAGGAGTTCATTCATCTGACTTTGAACTTCCCTTTCCAATCTGCTTCAGTTGTTTGTTTTTGAACAGCAACGCTGCAATTTCAAGTCTGGCATTCCCAGCATCAAATGACATTGGTTTATTGCCAAGATTATTGTGCAACAAATACTGTGCATACTTTATCACAAAAACCCCACAATCATGCCTGTAATATTTAAAGAATACGGTTATAAGTAATTACTAAATGTTGATGGAAAATGATAAAACTTGCAATACTCATAGCAAAACTTACCCATTTTGTTGTTGGGGGTAAACCACGGACAATATTAACACGCAGTTCCCCAAATTTGTCACCAATACTATCACTAGTTTTCTTCCATAGCCCGACAAATTTTAACAGGTGTGTAAGAGTCTTCACAAGCGATAAAACCCCTTCGTGAACCTTGTTGTCCTTGTATGATTTGTTGCTTGAATTATATATGTAAAGGACATGGTTAGTAATATCAAGCTGCCCTAACATCCAATGAGCATGATTTGTGGGCATCAACACAGATTCAACTTCTCTCCAAGCAGTATTAAATTATAACCGTTCACCATTGATGGTTTTGATTAGCTCATCATTCTTCTCAACAATGCTTGGGTCTTGAATAAATTTAGAGTATGTCAACTTGATTGACATATCAAATATGTAGTCTGTAGTGGTAGCTTTCATCTTCACACCTTCACCGAACTTGGCAAGTTGTCTTATGTAATGAAAGCATGCATCCAAGTGCTGTAGTAAGAAAGAATATACATAAGTAATACAAAACTACTATGCATATGTGGAAAATGGTGAAAAAATAGTACCGTGTTCTTCAATGATGAATTAGAATCAATTAACATATGCCACCAAGTTTTATAATGAACAGTGACAGTGCCACATACAAATTGAGGACTTATCACGTTATCTGCATCGTTGAACTTTACCCTGTGCACACACATATGCCCTCATCAAACAAAGAATAAGATTGTGACCAATTTATTTCTGTCTATGACCAGAAATGCTGTAGTCACAAAAAGTAATGGAAGGTCACAATTCACTAAAAACACTTAAAATCTACGTTTAATTTACTTGTTCTTGGGCTTGTATCCTTTGTCAAACCAATTCTTAAATGAGCTCAGATCTGTGCTATCAACTCCTTTCGAATAATTTTGGAACACGACGTTTACAGTGTTAGATTTTGATCCAGTAGCAGCATGACGTGGTTCGACCTTAACAAAAGGTGATTGCAGAGTTTTCGATGGCTTTTGTGCTCTCTTCACAGGTAGTCCAAATGATGGTGGTGCAGGTGTATCTTCCTAAATAAAAAAAACATAAAAATAATGTTTCTTAAATTAGTGTATGACAATAAATTTGAATTTATAATATTAAAACACTAAATGTTTCATTAAACTGACATCTTTGGAATGAAGTTCAGTAGACTCCAACACGCGTGCAATAGCCTCATTAACCTGATCCCGCACTTCTTTACTGGCAAAAAATGTATCATCAGAGCTTTTAGGTGTATGTGAGGAGCCAACTCCTAGATCAAATGAAGGAGATTCAAGAACATAGTCATCAAGAACATGTGAAAACTTAGGTGTCATGTGACCCTTGTCCACTTTTTCAACCACGTCATCACCTTTTTGCTCGGGTTCTATGTGAACATTGTCACTTTTTTCAGCAACATCATCACCTTTTGGCTCAGGTTCCATGTGACCCTTGCCCTTTTTGTCAACATCATCATCATCTTTCGGCACTTGTTCTGTCAAAACATCTTTACCACTCAACTTCTTATGAAGTTCATCTATCACCGAAGATAAGATGTCAGATACAGATTCAACAAAAATTTTAAGAGACAACCTGATGTCACTTAAGCTATCTTTCAATACATTGTGACTCTGAATGACCTCATTGAGCTTCAAAGAATTGTTTGATTGACGCATGTTTACATTTATCTTAGATAGTTCTGACTTCATCGACATAAGCTCCTCTTTCAACCCCTTGTTCTCCGCTTGGAGCTTAGTTATTTCCTTATCAATCAACTGCTTCAATCGACCACATTCCTGATAAATTTTGTAGTTAGTGGAATTGTATATAAAATGTGTTCTTAAGTGAATAGACAATGATATTACTTACCTCAAAACATGAGCAATCTGAATGGTAGGCAGCACTTTGCTGATCGCGAGAGCTAGAGCCAGCAGCCCCCGTTTGTTTGTATAGCGGTGGGTCTACAAAATCTGAATCTTCAACGTGTACCTTCGACAGTAGGGGAGTTGCCTCACTTGTGCCCAATTGATTTTTAGAGATCCTAACATTCCGAGTTGGTTGTCTAGGCTTTGAGTACTGCACATCTACCGATCGTACACAACATACACAAGAATGAAGAAAGTCACAAGAAACAAGTCACATGTGCTTAAGAGACATGTGACTTTACAGGTCACAATCGTATGAAGAAAGTCACAAATCACATGTTTCCGATCACATTCACAAATCACAAGTCACATAAGAGCAAAGTAAGTCACAAGGATCAAGCCACAACATACATAAGGACAAAGAGAGTCACAAGTCACAAGTTACATGTTTCAGGTCACAGTCATAAAAGATATGTCACTTTACAAACAGGATATTCATATTTCAGGTCACAAATCATATTTCGTATCATAATATATGTGAAGTTCATATTTAAAACATGTCATATATGGCATTGTGAGCTCAACTTCAGATGGATCAATGTCATTTATCACAACCTGTTTCACATAAGATGAAAAAATATTGAGCATATGTCATTTCAAAATTTATATAATTAACCAAATGATTACATAACAATTTAGATGTATTTAAAATCTTACATTCTCACTTCCAAACACTTTGTCCTCCAACATTGCCGCTGAAGGATATTTGTGTACAGTCCAATTAATAATGCGTGGATATTTCTTACAAATTCTTATGGCCACATTCCCCTCAAGTGCAGGTATGCACTCATATAGCCACACCTGGAAAGCCACTAAAAAACTTGTCAATCTGTAGTGACTAGTTTGTTTTGATAGTCCCTTTCTTAGTGACGATAAGGTAGTCTCAAACAAATATCTACCCCAAGGAAATGTTTCAAGAGTGGCAAAATCGTCTACAAGTGCAAATATGTATTGATCCACCACCTTCAGGTAGGATGTAGCAAATAAGTATGAGGTGATGAGATAGATAATTCCAATCTTAACAACGTCAAGGTCTGGTGCATCATCAAGTGAAATAAAAACCCTCTTGACATCTTCACTTGTAATAACTTTTAAGTCCTTAAAATATGTGTCCTTCACTAAAGACGATTTTTCATCTAACATTGGTCGACCATCGACCCCATCATACCTCAATCCCGTAACCAAACAAAATTCAGCAATTAAAAAATAAATATATCTCTCATTTACATTAAACCACATCTCCTACTTGACCTCCCGTAGTAAAACTTGGTGAATCAATTGTGGCTGCACAACTATCTCCCTACAATGCATGTCGTAGGAGAAACATGTGTTATCTAGAATTGCCCACAAAGTGCGTAATCACACTCTGTATTGGCGTTGTGGTGATCTTTCCAGAAAACTTATTCCTTGGTTTTATTAAGTATTTCTAGTCCCGCACAATCGTAAAATAAAAAATGTTACTCCGACCTTCAACACACAAACATTTCGCTGTGACCAACTCATAAATAGTTGGTCACAAATTTCTAAAATCATAACACAAAGAAGTAAAAAGTCACAACACCTATTTCATTCGCAAACAATCCAACACTCCTTTGAAAACACATTCGATTAAAATAAATAGTAATTGATCACACAGTACATGAAATAAGTCACAAACCCTTCAAATTACAAAATACCTAAAACAAGTCGCAAAATGATATTTCCTACACAAAATACCCACATCATGTCACAAACTACTCAAATAATAGGTCACAAATTTCAGAAATTAGGTTACAAAAACGGAGTTCACCTTTTTCATGGGTTTCCCGCCATATAATAAAATAGTTGTTCACAAATTTTCCAAAATCATAACACAAATAAGTAGAAAGTCGCAATCACGCAATACATAAAATAAGTCACAAAGCCTTCAAATTACAAAATACCTAAAACAGGTCACAAAATGATATTTTCTACGCAAAATATCCAAATCAGGTTACAAACTACTCAAATAATAGGTCACAAAATCGGAGTTCACCTTCTTCATGGGTTTCCCGCCAGAGGATGACATTTTAACTCTCTTTGCTGAAGAAGAATCTCCTTCAACATATTTCCTCTTTCCTTTATCATTCTCCACCACTTTCACACCAACACTATGAGTTTTTGCTATTCCAAACACAACTATTGTTGAAACTAAAATTTAATAAACTATTGTGTGGTTCGTAGTACTGGAGAAACGGAGTGGGAGGTTACTTTACTGTATTAGAGAGAGAGAAGAGAGAGAGAGAGAGCAACGTCATTGCTGTATTCCCGGTAGAGATAGAGAGAAGAACATGGTTTTTGCACTGCATTGTAAAGAGAGAGAAATGCGGTTTATGGTAAAACGCGAAAGACATAGGTCGGATGATCAGTGATTACGTGCAGATGTAATATGAAAACTGTGTAATTCAAATATAGAGGGTCCAGATTTCATCACGTAAATGAACAATTAGTTTATAATTATTATTAATTTTAAAATAAATAATTAACACCTGATTTTAGAAAATTAAACCTAATCACCCTAGTTTTGAAATGTAAAGTTTATAAGTATGGTTTTGCGTTATTTTAATATTTTGGGTTGAGAGTGAATCTCTCTCTTGATTTTTGATCCAGATTCAAGGCACATTCTTATTTAATAATGGGAAAAATTCACATTTAAGAGATTAACCATGATACAAGATTTAAAATTTTAAAAATCAGATATTATTAAATTTTATTCATAAAATTATTAATTAACTATATATTTTATTAATTAAATGTATTAAGATCACAATTATTTATAATTTGATCACCAATTATTTTTCGATCACAAATTAAAAAATTGTATAGATTACAATTTATTTATCGATCACAATTCACAAATTTTATAAGTCACAGCCCAAATTTTTAGGTCACATCTTATTTAGTGGTCACAATTTATCTATTTCATTATTCATATATTATTTATTGATCACAATCAACCAAAAAATTTGTGACCACCATTGACACTTGTGTGTGTGTCCACCATTTCACCATTGCCTCTAGCTGCACCATCATCAAAACCATCGCCTTCCCGCGGCAATACCACAATATAAAACAAACCAAAACCCACCATTTTCAATTACAAAACCACCATTGCCACCGCCTGATCCACCACTACCAGGTCCACTCTCAAATCTAACAAAAACCATCTTTATAGCAAAGATCTACCACTACCGCCACTAATAAAAACTATAGACACCACCAAATCTAACTAAACCACCGCCACCGCCACCGCCACCGCCATCCCCACCCAACCATCCCTATAACCATGGCGATGGTTACAATGAACACTGCACAATGATGTGCATATCAGTGTCTCATAAGAAAGCATGGAGGACTGCTACTGTGCTGAGGTCAGGGCCGCTAGATCTAATAAATCAAAGGCCCTCTATGCCCTTGGGCAGTGGCTTCGTCACTGTTGTAGCGACACTCATTCCACTATAGTGCCATCGTAGTGGATGGTCAGTTGTCGAAAATAGATCCAATATGGCTAATATAGAGAAAAACGACAAATATCGCTGCTGATCATCGCAAGGCTCTCATAGCGTTGTCGAAATGGATAGTTTATCACCGGAGAAGAGATCAAAATGGGGGGAGAGAGAGAGAGAGAGAGATTTGGGGATAGGTTAATTTAATCAGTAATATATTTATTTACTACAATATCAAATTTTAATTATAATCTGAATTTTGAAATATGAAAATTGAGACATGGTTTCTGAAATTCAAACTTTAAAATTAGGGTACCGTGTAATTTCCACTTTAATAAACCCAGGGTGAGTGAATAAAAAATGTAAATATTATTAGTGAAAATTACACCTAACCCTAGTTTTTAATTTATCATATCAAATATTAAGTTTTAAATTTATTCTTTCGAAAATCATTTATACCCTATCCACCCGTCCCACTCCTTAACTCTGTCATTTCCTATCCAAACAAAAAAGTAATAGACTTCATTATCCGCCAAACTCCAGTCCAGCCTCTTCTCCCGTGTCGGCTACCCAAAAAAAAAAAAAAAAAAAAAAAAAAAAAATAATATAAAAACTCCCAATTATCTGCAAAACTTCAGTCCAGCTATATATATATATATAGTCACAGACTCCATAGCATGTTTAGGGTTCATTTGGTGTGACTTTTGAAAATCAAAAAGCAACTTTTGAGATCCAAAAGCTACTTTTGGACTTGTTTAGCTAATTTTATGAAAGTACTTCTTTTATTTTTTATGGAAAGTTGGTTCCTCTAAAAATACTTTCATAATAGGAAGTTCTTTTAAATGTTAATTTCCAAACAAAAATTAAAATAATTTACTCCAAAAGTTCTTCTATATAAAATAAAAGTAAAAGTCATGTCAAATGGATCCTTAATCATGCGAATTGCCATTAGCTTCTTCCCATTGTTCCGTCCTAGCATAATCAAAGAGTTGGGCACTGAGCCTTTCTGAAAAGCTTCGCAGCTGTGCGGCGTATATAGGTTGCTTGCTTGGAAACAGTTGCTGTGATTTAATCCTCCACAGAGAGGTCGCCGATATGTGAGACCACAAACAACATAACATCAACATCTTGTCCAAGAAAATCCAGCTTGAAATTGCCCAGAACATGAATTTTCTATGACTTCAACATTGCTATATTTCAATTAGTATTAATACATAAATTGGGAACCTCATCAAAAACAGAAAAACTGGTGAATATCACATGAATAAAGAAAATAAAAGCAACAAAAGCTCTGAACGTCGAGGAAAATGGACACCAATCATAGATTGCATGATGATAAATCAATTCAATTAAGCAAGCACCAGTCAGCTCGATCACATATAATTATCACTAACCGAAAACCCAGAAATACAAAAGAAGAGAAACGTGAATTTTGGCCAATCAAGTAACAGCAGGTCCATCTTATTCTTATCCAACCACTCCTTGTTACTTTATTGCCATAAATCCTTTCAAACTTCAAACTTTGATGGTGAACTCCGCCTAAAACTAAGACAATTGATCCTAGTCATTTAATTATAGTTAATTTTAATGTATTCGGTGAGACAATTGCAAGAGACTTGTAGAAAGAAACATTACAAAATACTCTTCGTTGTAGGGATATTTGTCAAAGATGTGTAGAAGGCAATAAAATATAATCTTTGTTGTAAGGAAACTTGTTAATAATACTAAAGGTTGTAAAAGCAATATTTTTAACTTCCTAGAAAATATACAAAAGATATCGTCCAGAGAATGAAATTCAACATAAATATCTACCTATTTACATGAGATGGAACTATATATAGACCGTCAAATACATATCTATCAATTTTGAAATATTGTGGATTTGGAGTTCTATCTATTTTCATGAGATGGAACTATATATATTGGCCATCAAATAAATATCTATCCATTTTGAAATGTTGTGGATTTGGAGTACCCTAAGCCAACCATTGATGGCTGGATAAGTTGATTGCATATGGTGGGGTGGTGATGATGATGAATGACAAGCATGTGGTCGTTGTCGTGGATGGACTTGAAGTCTGAAGAAGATCAATTTTTACTTCTCTTTTTCTATTTTTTAATTTGTTTATTTTTTAATTTGTATTTTGTTGAGATGGATTGATGTGATTCCTTTACGTCGAGGACACCAAAATATCAAACCATGAATGAAGAAAGGTATGAAATTGTTCATAAATTTTTGAATTATATTCTTTTTGGATTCATTAGCACTTTATAAAAAGTTTTGATACTCAGATTTGACACGGATGAGTAAATGGGGATGTTGAAGACTTATTTTCACTTTTGAAAAGGTTAGGTACCCCGGTGCAATTTTTTCTTTTTTTTGTTTGTTTTATTTTATTTGAGCTATAGAGGGCAAAATTGTCAAGAAAGACCATCCGCACGAATTAGAAGACACGTGCAATTAAATTGAATGGGGACATAATTGCGAAACATTGAAAAAGAAGGGAACCCCAGTAATAATTTAGCCTTAAATATTTTGATATTAGACGATCCCAAAAAGGTTCTTCAATAGGATCATGTACAGTGCATATATTCTTCCAGACCAGAATTACGTGACAAGAACGAAAACCACATAAACTTGTTCAAACCCAATTTCATGGTTGATTTCCAACTTTAGCT